TGTTTCATTATTCTTGTGATATGATAAGGCTGGCTAATTTCCTCATGTAATGATTTTCTATTCATAATGCTCATTCTTCCTATGGTTTCCTACTACTATCACCTTATGAGTTCAGGTTGATGGCGACTGATCCAAAGTCTTCCAATAAGTTTGGCTGACTGTATAATAGGATATCTTCTAGAATTCTCAATGATGATCTGAGGAATTGTTGAGGAATTATGGCACCACAGAATTATTTATATATCACATAACATTGGATGTTAATCTGTAAATAAATACTCTGGTTGTAGTGCAAATGTGATTCTTAGTCACTGAGGCCTTAATCTGAGAAGAAGGAATGAAAAAGAATTTCCGTGTAGATTCCATTGTAGCTAAATGTGAGCTTTCGTTGTTAAGATTTCATTTGTGCGGCAATTGTACCCATTCCAGAATAGGGAGGCCTTGCTCATGGCCCTTTCCTGGTTGGACTAATTAACATGCTGTACATATGCTGCCTTTGAAGATTCCCCAGGAAGTTACAATTGGCACAGAATGTGGTAGCATGTATAGTGTTGGGCTTCCTGCTATTTACTCATATTACACTGCTGATTGATGTGCTGCACTGGCTCCCAGTTTCTTTCTGGGTGCAATTCAAGGTGCTGACCTTTAAAGCCTTACATGGCATGAGGCTAGGTTATTTGTGGGGCCATCTCCATTTGAGATTATCTGCCTGCTGCATTGGAACTGATAAAGTGGGTATGTTCCATGTCCCTTTTCTTAAATGCTACCATTTAGTGAGACCTAAGAAGTGTGCTTTTTCCATATAAACCTATGGAGTTGAAGCTGGATTAAATGATGATAATGCACCCCATTTTTAATAAGATAATTGAAAACCAGTATCCAGACTTCTTTAAATATTTTCATAATCCACAAAATAATTAAGTTAATTGCCCAATGATATATTTCAAATGTACTATTTTGTCTGGAAGTTAAGCAAAATTCCTAGGTGTTATAAATATTGATCTGTTTTGGGAAAATTCTTTGAACAATAAAGGGGACTCCATTTATAATAATAGCTATTAATGAGAGCTATCTGTCCATATGGTGTTGTATTATTCTAAATAATTCTTTTATATTTAAGTAACAGTTTACTGGTTTTTAATCGTTTATATAAAATAAGTGTCACTGAGGATATCCTAAAGGAATCCATAGTCTGAACAATAAAATTCAGTAATCTTGATGAAGTAGTCAATCATGATATAAATTATGGTTTCAGAAATTAACTATGCAAACATTTATCTTCAGTTCTAAAAAGGGGCCCAAAGGAATTAAAACAAATGACCAGAAACATCCATTCATGAAGCATATGCTTTGTCAAGAACAAGAATATGACTGAAACCATCAAGCCCAGTGATAATTATCTCTTCTTGCTAATACAAATGATACTCTAAAGAACAGCTACAGCTAATTCACCATAAAATAAAATTTTCAGAAGGAAGTTCAAAAGCCTGGGGGTTCAAGAGGCATTATCATCCAGTCTTCCAATCTGTTCTTCAGGTCAATGATGGGTTATTATGCAAATGGTATCAATAGGAGAGATTTGGTTTCTGGAAACAAGGCCTGAATTCTTGAAAATGGTCTGAATGGTCTGACTGCTGGCACAAAATAGGTTATACCTCACAAGGATCAACAAAAATGTGTTTGAACAAAGCAAGTTCATTAGAAGTCCTTAAATACTTTGGAAGTTGAAATGAAAATCTCATTTTCTATATACTAATGCCCAGAATTTTGGAAACAAACTGAATCTGAGCCCTTAAAATAGGAAGGCAAGTTTCATTTAATTCATAAAATAGAAACCTAGTAGCTGGAATATAGCAATTGAAGGATGCAGATTATTTAAAAGGGGGGGGGGAAGCAACAGAAAGCAGGGAAGAATTGCATTATTTGTTAATAATATTCCTTCATGCTCAAAAATCAAAATGAATGAACTGGTCAATATTATCAGAAACTATTCAAAGAGTCATGAAGTCATACAAATGGGAAATCATTCCAATTGTTGGGAGGCCCAGCCAAGTATAGACCTTCCAGGAAAGTTCTGATTTGTTTTGCTGACAAATTTCACCTTCAGAGAGAGGAGGAAGAGTCAAGGTTCTAACTCATAGAAATGGCTTAACTGAGGAAGTGGGCAAAGCACAATATTGAGGGAATGGCAATGTATTTCTTATGTTCTTGATTTTAAGGGAAGCTAAAAACTAACCATAGTCAGAGCAAGGATAAATGGGATTGCATGGGATAGGAAGGAAAAGGACAGGGACAAGCCAAGACAGGATAAGTTCTTAAAAGAGAAAACAGAATTGAAAACAATTCCACTGGGAAGAAAAATGCAGGACAGGAGACCATTCCAGAAAGGCAAACCAGTGTAGCTACAGAAAGAGCTTACTGAAGATCTGAACACACACAAAAAAGAAATGAAAGGGATTACAATGGAAGAATTCTGACAGGTAAACTTAGAGTGTACAGCTGGTATAAGGAAAGCAAATGCTTAGAATGAATTAAAGTTAGAGAAAGCTAGGTAATGGCACTGTTGAAACAAACCTATTAGATGTGGATGCATCAGGACTGATTTTCTGCCTCCTTATCCAAAGAAATACCTGAAGATTCTGCTTTAGATTTGTATTTGTATATGTAAAATATAAGGCTTGTGGGGGCAGGGTAATGAGGTATGTTAATTGCCATTTAAAAGTGCTTTCCCAGTCAAAATAATATCTGCTACTGTGACCTCTACGATAAGCACAATGAACTTCACAATATCTTTTAAGATTAACAAGGAATTTAAAGTAACATCCATATTGATTTAAGGAAGTTGCATATGTATTTCTGGAAGTTGTTATTGAAAAAAGCTGACAATATAACATCTTTAAAAGTCTGAAAACAATCTAACAAATAGGAATATTGCTATAATATTACACATGAATATAATATTGCAGATGAAATAATTGAAAATATTTATACTAATCATAGACTTTTTTCCTCCATTAAACATATATTGCACCAAGAAAACTGTAACAAAAACATTTTTATTTACTGCATAACTAGAAAGAACTAATCAGAAATTTAAAAGACATTGCATTATTACATGTAGGAGATCCCTTGATATTTCTTTCTAAAAGCCTAGATCTAGACATTTCTTGCAGTTCTGCATCTGAGACTCAGAGTGCCGCTGTTGGCCAACATAGTTCCCAGAAAGGAGCTGGAAATCTAATGGGGCTTCCTGCCTTCTGACTATCGAGTCACCGAGTGCAGAGCAGTCAAAGAGAGGATTGGGGGACATTCACCGACCATGGCAGAGAAAAGAAAACCACTGCAGTGTGGCTAAAACTCGGGAGAATCTCAGGAACCTCTTGATGCTTTCTTTCTAATGGGAATTTAAACTCCTCAGCTTACTGGATTACACAAAGCACTTTTCACCACAGGTGAGATGGACGGCAGGAGCAAAGCTAAGAGCAGATCTGTAAAAAGGCAAGTACGTCTCCTCTTCTTATTGTCTTTCGTCTGCCAGACTTTCTCAGAGCATCTTCGCTATTCAATTCCAGAGGAAATGGGAAAGGGTTCCATTGTGGGGAATCTTGCCAAGGATCTGAAACTGAGTATTGCAGAAGTGGGAAATCGCAACCTGCATATCCTTTCTTTAGGCAAAAAGCAATACTTCTCCATTAATGCTGAAAATGGGAATCTGTATGTAAAAG